AATGTAAATATTTATATTTTCCCACATCATTTTCGATGTAAGCAGAATGTATGCGGGAACGAATTTCAAAATATCTTAATATTTCATTTTCGGTTTCGGCTTCGGTTTCGGCCGAAATTCATTTTTAACTTTCGGTCTTTTTTCGGTTTCGGCCGAAAGTCATTTTTAAACTTTCGGCCTTTTTTCGGTTTCGGCCAAAAGTAATTTTAAACTTTCGGCCTATTTTCGGCTTCGGCCGAAATCAGAAAATCACTTTCGGTCGGTCTCTACACCTATCTGGCTGTATCATCACAATAACCTACATCTCTCTTGCTATCTCATCACACATACCTAGATACCTATCTAGACACCCACTTAGACGCCGCTCTGGCTATATGATCACACCTAGCTACATCTATCTTGCTATCTAACACACATACCTAGATACCTATCTAGACACCTACCTAGACAACTATCTGGCTAACTCAATGCACCCACCTAGACACCTATCTTAATGTCCATTTAATGTTTTGCAATACTCTGTTCGCTCATTGCTCGTGAAGTTTTCAATGTCGACTTCTCCTTCTATGTGCGGGCTTCCATTATATATTTGGTATGACTCCCATTATTGTCCATATTACAATCATCGACAGTGGTGCTTACCATGAAATTGGTCACATATGATTTGGATTACTTTATAAATTAAGAAATTTTGGCATCTCTGCGTAAGTAAAGATATTAAAGATCTTACAATTTTGAAGACCCAATTATCGACACTTCAAATTTGTTCAATAAAATCAACTTCGTTTGATCAATAGCGTCAAGATCATTTGATCAATAGCATCAAGCACATTTTATCAATAGCGTCAAGATCATTTGATCAATAGCGTCAATATCATTTGATCAATAGCATCAAGACCATTTGATCAATAGCACCAAGACCATTTTATCAATAGCGTCAAGATCATTTGATCAATAGCGTCAATATCATTTGATCAATAGCATCAAGATCATTTGATCAATAACATCAAGATCATTTTGAATCTGCCCCATGTAATAATGCTTTTTCAAAATTAACGAAGTGGCCATGAAGACTACGATCTATTTCAGAAGTCAATGATGTGTTTGCAACATGTCCCATATGCGTTAGCCATCTGCCTCCACATATTGTTAAATAATCACATTTGATCACATAAATCATTGAATCTGACAGATATTTTTTAATGGATTCGTGTGTTTATATTATTTGACAAAATAATTATTTTTTTTTAATTGCAAGCTAAATAAAAGACTAATAAAAAGGGAAAAAATTATCTTTTGCATTGAAAACGTATCAATCTTTCATTTGTTCCCTCCCTTATATAGTAAAAAGTTAAATCTAGACTCGTTGGTCTGTTACAATAGGAATATAGCAATATTATATTAGTTCAACCAGTGGTGGACAAACTACGGACCGCCAGGTCACATTCGGCCCGGCAAATGATTTTATGCGGCCCCCGAATGATATAGAATTTTTTTTAATTTCTTCGCCATTAAGTTATTTTGTTGAATTTTACAAAATTTCATGTACCCTTATTATTGTTTTAGCATTTTCTTATAGAATTTCTTTACAATTTTTTATTTCTGTAAACAGTCCTTGACCTTCGTAATGCAATGCTAATATGGCAAAATATATATGCGGCCCTCCAATAGCTTTTCATTTGTCAATTTGGACATACGCACTAAAACATATCCCACCTCTGAGTTAAACTCTTTAACAGCATTGTAAGAGAGCAGCAGATCAAAATAACTTCTCTTAAGTTACCAACTGTTAAGAGCAGTATATGTAACCTAACTTCTGTAGGAGCTGACCGAGGTCTTCCACTTTAACTCCTTTGTATAACCTTCACTTTTTTCGTGTATTTCTTTGTGGAAAAATGTATGGAAAAGCTAACTGACCCACTTCCCGTCACCCTATTGAGCTGAAGCTTGGCACATAGCTTCGTTGCTTATGACAACACATTTTTTTTTCAAAATTACCGCCCCAACCCCCACCACCAACATACAAAAATGGTGTTTTCCTGTTTATTAAGGGTAAGAGACCATTCCCATACCAAAAATCAGTTGCTACAATCACATAAATGATAAATCCGGTAAAATGACATAAATTCAATAAAAATGATATAAAGGAATTATATGAAAAAGATTTATTTTATTATATCTTTTAAAATTCTATTAGCTTCATGTAGCTAGATTTCAGCTGGGGAGGAGAAACGTGTGTTTTTTTTAAGCAACCATTACCCACATTATACGCCTGGGCAATGGCGATCATTTTTTGTTAAAGGGGGGGGGGGTGGTGTGGCGGCGGTTGGAATATAATCAGGTACGTATTATTTCAAAGGTAAAATTTTATATTTAATGCGATTTTTATGGATACACTTTAAGCTTCTACTGCTAAAGAAATTACAAATGCCACAAATTGCACAGCCACTCAAACCAAGGTTGACAGGAGACGGAAAGACAGACAGGCAGGCAGACAGACAGACAGACAGACAGACAGACAGACCGACAGACCGACAGCTTTGTCTTTCGTGTTTTTTTTTTTTTTTGGTTTAATAAAATTCTTAAAACATACATTTCAAGTGAGAATGTTCCATGGTTCGGACCACACATAAAAACTGTCATTGAGGTGTGAACATGTGTAAACATCCTGACTACGCCATCCATCAGCTCCACACACACACGGCTGTACCGCCGCGCTAAAGGAAAGAAATACATCCAAAGATCAACTCTGTCATTGTATTGAGAAGAACAAGACATTAAAATGTGCCGACAGTTGTATTAAAACGTCACTTTTACATAAAGGAAAAGTTTGCAGCTGAGGTCGAAATGTATTTATATATTTATGTGTGTCTGCGCGTGCAACTATGTGAATCTGTGCCTCTGTGTTCAGCTGTGTGAATCTGTGTTTGTCTGTGCGTGTCTATGCATGACTCTGTGTGTAAACGTGTTTGCGTGTTTGTGAATCTGTATGTTCATGGCTGTTTAAGACACTTATCTCGTGTTTGCCTGTTTGTGAATCTGTATGTTCATGGCTGTTTAAGAAAGTTATCTCGTGATTGCCTGTTTGTGAATCTGTATGTTCATGGCTGTTTAAGACAGTCATCTCCACGTGACTTACATCCAGAGTTCAATTGTTTTAAGTTTCATCTTTTCCAAATAAAAATGTTTCTTCAAAGTGTTCTATCTCTTATGTAATAAACAAAGGTAAATAGTCAAATTATCTTATGTAATAAACCAAGGTACATAGTCAGATTATGTTATGTAATAAACCAAGGTACATAGTAGGATTATCTTATGTAATAAACCAAGGTACATAGTCAGATTATCTTATGTAATAAACCAAGGTACATAGTAAGATTATCTTATGTAATAAACCAAGGTACATAGTCAGATTGTCGTATGTGATAAACCAAGGTAAATAGTCAGATTGTCTTATGTGATAAACCAAGGTAAATATTCAGATTGTCTTATGTGATAAACAAAGGTAAATAGCCAGATTGTCTTATGTAATAAACCAAAGTAAATAGATTGTCTTATGTAATAAACCAGGTAAATCGTCAGATTGTCCTATGAGATAAACCAAGCTGAGCAGGTACAGATGGCATCTCACCTAGAAATAACCGTTAGACAGAGCTGACGCGCGTGAACCATTACGTCTTCACTACTAGGCATACCAGGATTAGTTCATAATAAAATATTAGCTCACCATATCTTTGCATCAATCCTAAGGATGGACATGGAAAGGTCAGTTGTATTGTTTGCTTTCATTCATCAAACAACTTTAACCCGTTCAAAGAAATTTAAATTATTTTAAAGAATGTGCAACCACACTTGTTATATATTATAAAATCCTTGTTGAGCATCGAAGACACCAAACATTACGAACTACTCCTGGTTTGGAACAGTTAATCATGCACCAATCATCTGGACATATCCTTACTCTTTAATGCAGGCAAGATACTTCGAAAAAAAACGTCTTAATGCGTTTCTTGAGAAGGGTCTCCTGCCAGATAGTCAATGTGGTTTCCGTAAAGATCACGGAACTATTGATTTGGTGTTTGCAGTCAGGCTGTCATATGAAAAATGCAAGGAAAAAGAGTGTTGACGTCTCATCCGACTATGTAGACCTGACGTAGGCTTACGACACTGTCAGTAGAGATGTTCTTTGGAAAATGGTGGCCAAATAGAGATGACCCAGAAATGTCATATCATTAGTACAGTAATTTTATTAAAGATAGTTTACACTACATTGTTTAGAAAAAGTGAATCTGTTATTTTTATCAAGCACAATGACAGTTAAGTTGAAGCTACTGGCGGTAAAAATTTCTTGGAATCTATCGAGCATGGGAGTTCATTAATAATCGTTACGACTGGATACCATGTTTGATTACTTGCGATATGTTTTTTGAGAGATTAATTAGTTAGTGAACGCTCTTCCCGCGTTTGACTTCGTGACATAGTTACATGCTTATTATGACGTATTGTCTAGTCCAATGTTTCCCGACAAAGGGAGTCGACAAATGGAGTCAAACAATGTTGTGTCCAGGTTGTCCAGGCTCCCCACTTTTCTGTCTCATGTTTTCAACTATTTAACCTCAAGAGACTACATGCTAGATCCAAGTTACTGACAATCATCAGGGACTTCCTGTATACTCACGACATACAGACAACCTAAAAGCCTTACTGAAAGATTCGACATAGACCCGGGCACATGGGAATAAGCGGCAAAGGATCGAGCAGTGTGGAGTTCCTCTTTACATAAAGGCTTCATTCAACATGAAGCCAACAGAACGACATCTACAAAGCACAAAAGTTACGCATGAAAAGCCCGGGTCAATCCTACACCTGGAGATGTCTCATCCATTCCCTGTACTACACAAGAACATTTCGGGCCAGAATCGGTCGGTCTCATGAGCCATCTGCTCACCCACGGACAAATTAAGAATTAACTATAATATTTCACAGGATAAAACATTTTATCAGCTTACAGGGCAGCTACATTTATAAACGGTCCAGTCGTCAATATGGAAGTGGTGGGTCGTCCCAACAGGAATGGGTTGAAGGCGACCCCTGTAAAAGTCCATCAGTTCGTGTCTTTCTGTTTCAGGAAATGGGTCTGGAATGACGTCACAAAAAACTGGAACAGAAATTGAATTGCGATTTTAGAGATCTGTTGTAAACAGATACTGATTTAATTACTGTAAAGGTTTTTGAAGGCCTTAAAAATGATTTTTTTTTTTAATTTAACTTTCTACTCATTTAACTACTTATTATCAAAATCAAAGTTAAAAGAATTTTTTTTTTTTATGAACCTTTAAGAGTAACCCCTTACAGAGAAGTACTAGAAGAGAATAAAGTACATTACCTCCCCTGGACTATTTTAAAACTTAAGAATGGCAAATAACTAAAAACAACATTTGAGTTTTCTTGAAAATCATTCAAAATCTCATTGAACTGAAGTACATGTGTGCAATAGGGAGTTTATTTCACATCCTTGAGGAAGAATTGTTTACACTACATTGTTTAGACAACGTGAATCTGTTGTTTTTATTAAACACAATGACAGTTAAGTTGAAGCTACGAACGGTAAAAAATTCTTTGAATCTGTCGAAAATGGGAGTTCATTAATAATCTTTACGACTAATGATCCTGTTTGAATGCGCGCGAATATGTTTTTTGAGAGATTAATTAGTTAGTGAGCGCTCTTCCCGCGCGTGTCTTCGTGACGTATTGTTATGCTTATAATTGCGTAATGTCTAGTCCAGTGTTTCCCCACCATGCCCCACCTAAACCTTCATAAAATTCGTATGTCCCCCCCGCCCGAGGCGTAGTGAGGGTGTTTAACGCCCGGGGACAAGATCCATTTTAAAGCGCCCCTTTTTCTTGTTTTCATCTCTCAAACCTATTATTTTTACCAATAATATAATATCAAAGAACATTCTGGCGCCCCTAACTAGCTTGCGCCCGGGGACATCTGTCCCACCCTACCACCCCTTCGCAACGCCTCTGCCCCGCCCCAACCATATATCATATACATACTTTTTAATATTAAAAAATAGGGTTGTTCACTTAAGAAACTTGAATGATAGGTTTTATGGAGAAATCACTAGGCATTTGTTGAGAAAAGAAAATAAGTACATTTTCAAAACATTTAATGGGGAGCTGAAAATCAAGTACGAAATAATTTTAATGAAAGATTGTTATATATTATTTCAATTATTAGTAATTATTTATTATGTAACTTTAGTGAGAGGTTTGTGCTTGAGGCTTGCTGCCAAGAGATTTTATGTCAGGTTCCAGTTGAGTTAGCTTCAGTCTCAAGTCTCCCCGTAGTGTGGAATCCAGCCCATTTCTTTTTCAACAAATCATTTATGGCACTAAATCCACATTCAGCTAAATATGAAGATGGAAACGGTAACAATAGTTTTCTTGCACATTTGGCTAAATTTGGATATTTGATTTCCATTTACTCACAAGTGCCATCGGTCCTTTTATTATTAAATAACGTTTTAACTGAATCATAATTTTGCATTTATTCGAGTTCTTCTGGACACTACACATTTGAAATATCAGACAAATCCATTAACATTTCCTGCATCATCCAAGTTGGAAAATCATTTTGTTTCAAATCAGAAAATCCTTCTTTTAAATCAACCGATAGAATTTTCAGATGAACGACAAGAGCCAAATAAACTTTTTAAAATTTTTGTTGTAAGTATTGTTCTGACAATATTCAATAAAGATAATGAAACCAAAAATCTTCGCTTTTGCATCGACACTAGTTTTATTTTTTCCTTGAAGTTGGTTATTTAATATATTTAGTTTGTCAAAAAGCTATCGGCAAAATAACTTACAAAGGCGTTACCGTCGATTGTTGACAGATACTTCGTAACAGGTTCGTTACTTTAAAAAATCACAAGAGTATCAAATAGTTCCATGAATCTTTTCAAGCAATTTTCTTTCGAAGGCCATCTTACTTCAGTGTGGTGTAAAAGTGTCACAAAGTCCACATTTTACTTTTCACAAAAAAAGCTTGAAAAGACTGTCACATTTTGCATTAATTTAATAACATTGATACATTTTAGAATTGATTTGAGTCCTTCATTTTAAAGAAGCGAAATGTTTTTAGCTACCACGTCTTCCCTATAAAAACACAATGCACAAGAAGCATTTCTGTACCAAGTCTTCCCTATAAAAACACAATGCACAAGAAGCATTTCTAGATTCTCATCTTTCATCAATTTTAAGCAGCCATTGTTCTTGCCCATCATATTAGGAGCACCATCTGCAGCACAAGAAGTTATATTTTCATTGGTATATTATTGACATCTATGTAGATGTTTTACCTTATTATATAAAAATAATCTATCTCTGGTGGTAGTGGTGCCTCTAATGATTTACAGAACAACACTTCTGCAGCAAAATACCCTTATGAATAAATCTTAAGTTTGTTATCAATAGAGCCTCACTGTGTCTCCCACTTGATTCAACCATTTGCACTGAGAATTTTCTTTTTTCAGCTTTTCAACAAGTTGTATTTCAATATCTTAACCCATTTCGTTTATTCTTCTGCTAACAGTATTGCTACCGAAAGGCATACCTTTCATGTCTTTGTCATCCTTTTCCAGAACCGCTTTATGAAATGCTGTTATTGATGGTTTGATTTAATTATTTCATAGAGCATGATTTTTTCCCCGATTTAGCAATGAGTTAGGAAATTTCATAACTAACCTCAAGAGTACGATGATAGTTGCAGTATAAGCAGTAAATAGAGACTTTAATGTTGCTGGGGGGGGGGGTTCAAAATGCAAGTTAAATCATAGTAGACGCTTGGTTTTCAAATTCTAGGCCGCTCATTTTCCAATTGCCCCCTAAACAATAAAATTGCCCCCTTTTGAGGGCACAAGCCCCATGTTTGGAAACACCGGTCTAGTCTGTTTTGTTACGTAAGTTTTAGTAGTGCGAAAATCGTGAAAGGAACTTTGTGAAAGGAGGTTGTGTTTTATTTCTCTCTGATAGCTGACACATTTGTAAGAGCAAGAATTCAGAATACTTGCATTTATTTATAATGAATTTTCTATTCGTCTTTGTGGCACATTTTCATATGAGACAATATTACCTCACGGTGAGACCCTTTCCTTAAGGAGGACAATGGTAATGTTATGTTACCACCTGTGGGACATGTGCCTGTGTTTACTAACCTCCAATAGGACATTGGTAGTGGGGACAACAGTCATCGTCATACGTCACCTGTCCCTCCTCGCATATGAAGTTGTACGTCCCGCATCTCTGACGTAGGCAGTACTGACGTGTCGTACCTATTTCGCAGGTGCACATCAGACATGTATTGCCTTCACCGTACGGATAGGATGACCCCAGGCTGTACAGCGCCCCGTCAACGTTACACCCCAGCTGTTCACAACAGCAGCCGTCATGTGACCACTGAAGCCCAATAGAAAACAAAGGTTAGTCATGGAGGCAAGTTGGGCACTGAAACTTTTTAGTGCTCATCATGGGACTCTCAAGACACATTTTTTGGTCCCATATTTTAAATTGATGCGTCTTTTAATTTCAATCTTGTAAACCAGGCCTGCACAACTCAAAATGTAAGGCGGGCCGTAATAAATTATGAAAAACTTTGCGGGCAAGAAGAAAATAGGACAGGACTTGTGCGGGTCAAAAGAATATAGATCAGGGTGAAAGCTTTTAAGAAAATAATAAGAATAAAGCATATTTCGTTACTTCGCGGGCCGCAAAGTGGGTGCTGGCGGGCCCCATGCGGCCCGCCGGCCGTATGTTGTGCAGGCCTGTTGTAAACCAATAATAATATTCATAGCGGATAAATCCGTGTTGTTGAAGAAATAAGTCAATTTGTTGAAGAAATAAGTCAATTTGTTGAAGAAATAAGTCAATTTGTTGAAGAAATAAGTCAATTTGTTGAAGAAATAAGTCAATTTGTTGAAGAAATAAGTCAATTTGTTGAAGAAATAAGTCAATTTGTTGAAGAAATAAGTCAATTTGTTGAAGAAATAAGTCAATTTGTTGAAGAAATAAGTCAATTTGTTGAAGACATAAGTCAATTTGTTGAAGAAGTAAGTCAATTTGTNAGTCAATTTGTTGCGCAAATGCCTTGCTTCCAGCATCTGGCCATTCATACATCCATCCTAAGGGTCAAGGTGGCATGCTTGCTATATATTTATAACTTACCCTAACACACCCCTTGTCTTATGTCTTACCCTAACACACCACTTGTCTTATGACTCACCCTAATACACCATTTATCCTGAGTAAAGTCGTATGGTACCTCACACACTGGACCAACACACCAGACCCCCAGGACATCACAGGAACAGGTTCTACATCGCTCTGTCCACTCTGAGCCAACGTTGTGGAACTCTTTGGTCTCCAGAGAATTAAATGAGTCCAAGTTGACGGGGTACCTACCCTGTGCCAGAGACATAGACAAATTTTTAGTAGGTTTCAAATTATTTTCCGAGCCACAAGTTTTGTTTCATTAATCACATTTGGTATGCTTGTGTAAATCAGGGGTTCTTAACATGTCGCTTACGGACTCTTTGGGGATCTGTGAACAGGTGTAGTAGGGTCCGTGACAGCCATTTCTATTTAAATAGTATTTTCTTTATCAAACTGTATTCTAAGATGGGGTCCGTCTCTTTCTTCTGACAGGGCAAAGTGGTGGATTGAACAAACATAGAAAAACTATTTTTTTTAAGCGCTCAAGTTGCCAACATAAACATCATTGTTAGATAATCTTCGTTTTCGAAGAATGAAAATATAAAAATGATATTCATCTGTTTGAAAGAGAATAATGTGCACGTGCGTAGCGACTGAGTGCAGTCAAAATTCATGTAAAATGCGCCACATGGGAATGTAGAATTTTTATTACTACAAGTTTATATTAAAATCGGTTTTAAAAAATTCACCTCCACAATGCACTGGCCATGACGATAGGAGCCAGTTTTGATGACGACATTTGCCCTCTCTGATGAACTTGAATCCTCTAACAAAATGATCACAGCAAGTATAGGAATCCAGCAAGCCATGACTGACAGCATTCAGTAAAGTAGCTCACTTTGAAATGAAATATGGATCACAAACAATTTTTTTTCAAATTAGATTTTTAAGCGATTTTTGTAATAATTTTTTGTAATTCTCCGATACAATTTATTTTAGTTTATAAACAGCTGTCGCTCACTTTGAACTGTAAATCTGTTTACTATTTTTACCAATGATGGCCCTTTTCTAGTTGCGAGTTTTAAAATGATTAAGTATATTATTGTTATTGATTTTTCCTGCTTGTTACATCTGCTGTCATCAAGAACATTGAATAGCTGCTGATCAAAACACAAATTGAACTACTGAAAAAGAAACAATTCTAACTGTAAACCTATTTCATAGCTATTTCATTTGTACCTCTAACGAAAAACTTTGAGATCGTCACAGATAGTCCGACGACTTTGAGATCGTTACAGATAGTCCGACAACTTTAAGATCGTCACAGATAGTCCGACAACTTAGAGATCGTCACAGATAGTCTGATAACTTTGAGATCGTCACAGATAGTCTGACAACTTTGAGATCGTCACAGATAGTCCGACAACTTAGAGATCGTTACGATAGTCCGAAAACTTTGAGATCGTCATAGATAGTCTGATTTAAAGTAATCAAACAATAAGCCCTAGTTAATCAGAAACAATGGACGTCAAGGTTTTTATCCTTGTAACATCTGTGAACAAATCCAAAAACAACAAAAACCAATGGTTCTCACATTACAACAATCTAATGTTTATCTGGCAAGGTGCCCCAGTGTTCACAATCAAGGAAATCTTACTCTACCCATATCACTGAATCAGCCGTTGGTAATACATGATCTTTGAATAGTGTAATCCATTAAATTTACCCAACAAGTTTATGGTTTATAAAGATAAACAGTAAAAAGGTGTACATACATATAATGCATATTCAGATAGCTCGAAAAGCTCACAACATTTAAACTTAAGTGTGCATTTAAAAGTCGTCCGCGACCTTTTGATAACGTTAGAATTGAGTTTGTCGTGTTAATGTTAGGAACCATCAAGAGGTTATTTGTCCGATTCATCAAGCTGTTGCACTCCAGACCCAAATAATTCTTATTTGTAACAAAGTAAAAATTGGTTTGTGAAATGAGATGATTGTAAATAAGAGCCAATAAGTAGATGATGGGCAGGACGAAGGCTAGAAACATTTGATCAATAGTATCAAGATCATTTGATCAATAGCGTCAAGATCATTTGATCAATAGCGTCAAGATGATTTGCTCTATAGCGTCAAGATCCTTTGATCAATAGCATCAATATCATTTGATCAATATCATCAAGATCATTTGATCAATAGCATCAATTTCATTGGATCAATAGCGTTAAGATCATTTGATGAATAGCGTCAAGATCATTTGATGAATAGCGTCAAGATCATTTGATGAATAGCGTCAAGAGCATTTGATAAATAGTGTCAATATCATTTGATAAATTGCGTCAAGATCATTTGATCAATAGCATCAAGATGATTTCATCTATAGCATAAAGATCATTTGATAAATAGCGTAAATATGATTTGATGAATATCGTCAAGATGATTTGATCAATAGCGTCAAGATCATTTGATAAATAGCTTAATGATTATTTGCTCTACAGCATCAAGATCATTTGATCAATAGCGTCAAGATCATTTGATCAACAGAGTCAAGATCATTTGATCAATAGTGTCAAGATTATTTGATGAATAGTGTCAAGGTCATTTGATCAATAGCGTCAAGATCATTTGATAAATAGCTACAAGATCATTAGAGCAATAGCGTCAATATTATTTGATAAATAGCGTCAAGATCATTTTAGCAATAGCGTCAATATCATTTAATCAATAGCGTCAAGGTTATTTGCTCTATAGCTTCAAGATCATTTGATCATAGCGTCAAGATCATTTGATAAATAAAGTCAAGATCATTTGATAATTAAGGACAAGATTATTTGATCAATAGCGTCAAGATCATTTGATCAATAGCGTCAAGACAGTTTGATCAATAGCGTCAACATCATTTGATAAATAAGGTCAAGATCATTTAATCAACAGTGTCAACATTTGATAAATAGTATCAATATCATTTGATGAATAGCATCAAGATAATTTATCAATAGCGTCAACATCATTTGATCAATAGCCACAAGATCATTTGATCAATAGTGTCAAGATCATTTTTTCAATAGAATCAAGATAATTTGATAAATAGCGTCAAGATCATTTGATCAATAGCATCAAGATGATTTGCTCTATAGCGTCCAGATCATCTGATCAATAGCGTCAAGATCATTTGATAAATAGTGTCAAGATCATTTGATGAATAGCGTTAAGATTATTTGATAAATAGCGTCACTATCATTTGATAAATAGCGTCAAGTTCATTTCATCTATAGCGTAAAGATCATTTGATAAATATCGTCAAGATGATTTGATCAATAGTGTCAAGATCATTTGTTCAATAGCGTCAAGATCATTTGATCGATAGTGTCAATATCATTTGATCAAAAGCGTAAAGATCATTTGATCAATAGCGTCAAGATAATTTGTTCAATAGCGTCAAGATAATTTGTTCAATAGCGTCAAGATCATTTGATCAATAGCGTCAATATCATTTGAACAATAGCGTCAAGATCATTTGATAAATAGCGTCAAGATAATTTGATCAATAGTGTCACCATCATTTGATAAATAAGGTAGAGATCATTTGATCAATAGCGTCAAGATCATTTTATAAATAGCATCAAGATCATTTGATCAATAGTATCAAGATTTTTTATCAAAAGCGTGAAGATAATTTGATCAATAGCATCAATATCATTTGATCGATAGCGTCAAGATCATTTTATCAATAGAATCAAGATCATTTGATAAATAGCGTCAAGAGCATTTGATCAATAGAATCAAGAGATTTGCTCTATAGCGTCCAGATCATCTGATCAATAGCGTCAAGATCATTTGATAAATAGTTTCAAGATCATTTGATGAATAGCGATAAGATTATTTGATAAATAGCGTTAATATCATTTGATAAATAGCGTCGAGATCATTTGATAAATAGCGTCAAGATCATTTCATCTATAGCGTAAAGATCATTTGAACAATAGCGTCAAGATCATTTGATCAATAGCGTCAAGATGATTTGATCAATAGTGTCAAGATCCTTTGTTCAATAGCGTCAAGATCATTTGATCGATAGTGTCAAGATCATTTGATCAATAGATTAAAGATCATTTGATCAATAGCGTAAAGATCATTTGATCGATAGTGTAAAGATTATTTGATCAATAGCGTCAAGATGATTTGCTCTATAGCGTCAAGATCATTTGATCAATAGCATCAAGATCATTTGATGAATAGCGTCAAGATGATTTGAATTGTAGAGTCAAGATAATTTGATCAATAGCGTCAACATCATTTGATAAATAAGGTTAAGATCATTTGATCAATAGCGCCAATATTATTTTATAAATAGCATCAAGATCATTTGATCAATAGTATCAAGATCATTTGATAAATAACATCAAGATCATTTGATAAATAGCGTCAAGATGATTTGCTCTATAGCGTCCAGATCATTTGATCAATAGCGTCAAGATTATTTAATGAATAGCGTCAAGATCATTTGATGAATAGCATCAAGATCATTTGATAAATATTGTCAACATGATTTGATAAATTGCGTCAAGATCATTTGATCAATAGCATCAAGATGATTTCATCTATAGCGTAAAGATCATTTGATAAATAGCGTAAAGATGATTTGATGAATATCGTCAAGATGATTTGATCAATAGCGTCAAGATCATTTGATAAATAGCTTCATGATTATTTTCTCTACAGCGTCAAGATCATTTGATCAATAGCGTCAAGAAAATTTGATAAATAGCGTCAAGATCATTTGATCAATAGCGTCAATATCATTTGATCAATAGCGTCAAGATCATTTGATAAATAGCGTCAAGATCATTTGAGCAATAACGTCAAAGTCATTTGATAAAAAGCTTCATGATTATTTGCTCTACAGCGTCAAGATCATTGGATCAATAGCGTCAAGAAAATTTGATAAATAGCGTCAAAATCATTTGATCAATAGCGTCAAGATCATTTGATGAATAGCGTCAAGATCATTTGATCAATAGCGTCAAGATCATTTGATCAATAGCATCAATTTCATTTGATCAATAGCATCAAGATCATCTGATCAATAACATCAAGATAATTTGATCAATAGCATCAAGATTATTTAATCAATAGCATCAAGATCATCTGATCAATAGCATCAAGACGATT